GCGTATCGACATATCAGATACGTATCGTATCCGACACATGTATCTATATCTATGCTTCATACCTTTCAACTTCAAATTGTGCATATCAAGGCCTACTATTTAAACTTAAACTTAGTTCCAGAGAACTAATACACTGCTAAATCCTAGAACCAGAAGCCACTACATAGAATATACTTATCATAAATATAAGTTAAACTTTTATAGCATAACAGCTCTAATTAGACCTCAGAGGAATAGTTTAGAACAAGAAACCATAAATGACTACAAAAACTAGAATAACAAAATGTAAAAATGACTCAGTTATGGTTGGGTCATTTCATCAAACAGCTAGCGTGCAATGAAAACAACAACAATAAAAATGACATATAATAAACAACATGGACAAGATTGTTATAAATATGTACATGTTTTTGTCCTTGGTAAGTTTATTAACATTTAGGAAAAAAATGTTAAATGTTCGATTTATATTAATAATATTTGTTGGAATAGATAGTCACATATTTTGAAATAAATAATTTTAGTTATACAAAAAAAATTATTTTATAAAAATAAGAGTAAATAAGATTGTTAATTCGTTTATAAAAGCCTATTAGGAATATTCCAATATTATATAACTGTGAGTTTCAAATATTTTATAAAAATAAGAGTAAATAGTGTCATCAGTTACAAATTGATACGTCAATTAAAGTTGTACTATAATAACTAAACAAAGTTAACAAAACATCCATTTTTAAAACATCCATTTATAATTAATGGCACATAGAAACTTGTGCTTATATATAAAAAAACATCCATTTTTAAAAAAGCTCTTTCTATATATGTGCCAACCACAACTTCCAAAATCCAAAAGCTAGATATCCTATGAATTTTCTATTACTGTCTGTCTATTATTTAAAAGAGAAATACTCTATGAGTTTTATGCATTGTTATAATATTATTCATATTAATTATCAATGACCCTTTAAAAAAGTAATGTAAATGAATGTTAGATAAAATACGAATTGAGTAAAAATCTTTATACTAATAGTGCATGAATATCATATATTATACCGAATTTAGAATGGGACAAATGTATAGTATTATATTATATGCACTTTCATAAATATCCTATTTTATACTTCACTTTCATATTCTCTCTCATCTTTCTCTCTCCAAAGGAACCAAACCCTAAAGTGCTTTATCCACCACCAAGTAAGTTTTCTCTCTCCTATCTCTTTCTCTCTCTCTCTTTCTCTTTCCTTTTATAATTTGAATAGATGGTGTCCTTCTTCTGATACTGTTTGAACATCCTTGTATATATTTGTTATATGAATTTTGTTTTTATTAACCATTTTAAGCTAGATCTCACATTAAAGTTCTCAACTTTTGTGAAACCCTAAATGGGAATTTGGGATCTACGGTGTAATGTTTAGTTCCTAAGTTAATTTAGGAATTACATTGATATTCAGATTGCAGGTTTTCCACTTTTTGGTGATTAGATCCATAAAGTTCAAATTTTTATTGCTCAGAATTGGGAAATCAAGATTAATTTGAGAAATTTTATATTTTGACATTGATAATCTGATTTTTTTAATTTTTGTGGTTGTTTATTTGTAATATTGTCTCAATTTTGTAGTTTTCTCAAATTGTATGGTGTTTCCTGTTCCATTTGCTTGTTAAGAATTATTTGGTTCTTCACAGAATCAGTGATTTATTTAAATTGCGATTGCGGTCAGGACTATGCTATTGCAGAGACACCGAAACCGCAACATTGCGGCCACAATTACAGTTGCGAGTGCAATTTTCATCAATCTATAGTTGTTTTTTGGTTATAAGGATTGGTTTGATTTATTTTTTTCTAATTCAGTTTATGTACTTTTATTTGCTTCATTAATGTGTTTCCTTGTAATGGTGCTTAGATTTAAATGATGGGCACTGAAAGAAGAAGCTAATGACAAATTTTGAAACTTCATGATCTTTTGTTTTTTGTTGTTATTTAGTTCTCATGGATGATGATGTGCTAAACATGTCCAATTGGGGTTATTACGAACCCTTCAAAGGAGGGCATCTTGGTCTGCATCTCATGACAGATCCTGACACAAAACCATTTTTTCCTGGACGTGATCCATCTATGTTTGTCGGTGCAAGCGATCGGGACTCAAAACCATTTTTATCTGGTCATGATCCATCTATGTTTATTAGTGTGAATGATCGTGACTCAAAGCCTTTTTTGTCTGGTCGTGATCCATCTATGTTTGTTGGTGTGAATGATCGTGACGTGAAGCCACTTTTGCCTGGTCGTGATCCATCTATGTTTATTGGTGCGAATGGAACCATGCACCCACGAGATTGTGTTGTTTCGGAGGCGCCAATGTCGATGAACTATGTAAGGGATGGTTGGATAAGCCTGAGGGACAGGTTTTTTAATATGCCGCCTGTCACTCCTGATAATGCTGTTCTTCCAGAATCATCAGCACCCTCCACCATGCAAACTACACAGCTACCCGACACTTCAAGAAATGAGAAGGTGGATAGCATTGAAGACTCGGTTGTTAAAAAAGTTGGCCAATCAAAGAAAAGGCAAAGTACGGGTGTTTTAACTTCTCCAAAGGCTAAGAAACTGAGGAAGCCAAAGGATAATAGCGATGCTTCAGTTCAACATGTGAAGCCCATTAAGAAGACTAAAGAGCTTCTCATAAATGGAATTGATATGGACATTTCTGGCCTACCCATTCCAGTTTGTTCATGCACTGGTACTCCTCAGCAGTGTTATCGCTGGGGCTGTGGAGGTTGGCAATCAGCTTGTTGTACCACAAATGTGTCGATATATCCTTTGCCAATGAACGTAAAAAGGCGTGGTGCAAGGATAGCTGGACGGAAAATGAGCCAAGGTGCTTTTAAAAAGGTTTTAGAGAAACTTGCAGCTGAAGGTTATAATTTTGTAAACCCGATCGATCTGAGGACTCATTGGGCCAGACATGGAACCAACAAGTTTGTAACTATCAGGTAGATAAGTGCTGCTGAGACTCAGGATATCTTGTCTGTTTCATGTGTATATCCACCTGTTGTGCGTCTTTCTCACCGATGTTGAGTTATTTGTTATCCAAGAATTGTCCGTCGTGGTACTTCTGCATTAAATTTGGACATTCGGGTTCAAATTTGGACATTCAGGTTCTTTTGTTCCTTTTCCCTTTTCGGCCCTTAGGTGCTATGGGGTGCTTTATGTTGTATGGCATCAACATTTATGTAGATGAGTAATTACTAGATAGACTATTTTTGGATAATGTTGATTCTCATTTAATTTATTTTGTCATGATTTTGCAATGCTATGATCTTTATTAATACAGTAAGTTATCTTTTTGTCATTCCTTTGGCTTTAAGGGTCATCAATTATATGCTGATTTTGTTTCTGTTCTTTGATTTAACCCTTCAGTTTTCTAGTTGTACAGATTTGATAACAATGCTAAGAGTGGATGGTGCTTGAAATGTTGTTCATTAGGTGTACAATCTCTTTCAATTGGAGTTTTAGTAGACCATGGTTTAATCTAAGATTTCTTTTTCTGGTCCTAGGAGTGTCAGATCCATTTCCTATCCAGTATCCATGTTAGTGTATTTAATGGCTCTCGCCTCTTTCCATCATTGCCTTACAAAAACTAACTCGCAAACAAACTCTTAACAATTACAAAGGCAATAGTCTCGAGGATGGGATGTGATTTTTTTATATGACTTCGACCATCGATCTTCGATCTATTATCAAGAATAAATATAATAAAATATCATGTTATTTTTTTACTTCGATCTATTTAAAAGTAATCGTATGATATCATTTTTCTGACTTCGACCTTCGATCTATTTTCATAATAAATATAATCTTATGATAAAATAATAGTATAGAATGTGTTTGATGACTTCGATCTTCGATCTTCTTACATCTTTTCTTATTTCGATCTTCAATCTTTTTACATCCTTTCTTACTTCGATCTTCATGTTAAGTATAATAGTATGTCATGGTTTTTTGATAAGTATAATAGGGGATGGGCCCTCGGGGAGCCGGCCGGAAGAGGCAAATTAATAAGATGATCTTACTGTATAAGGGCGGACAAATGTTGTACTGTATTTTTTCTAACAATTTTTGTATTGTATTATAGCAAAATGGATTGAAGTAATGAAATGGAAGATTTACATGATTAGACCCCATTCATATTTTTACCTTATTAATAGAATGTCATTAGCTTCCCTATTTTGTAGATGGATTTTGTCATTGGGCTGAAATTATTAGCTGTTCCATGTTCAAGAATATGAAATTTTTGTCTTCATAGGTTGTTTTACTTTTTTGTTAATACAATGTCATAAATGTATATTAATTCAAAACATTCATTCATATTTATGCACCTTTTTATAAGTGTTGATTAAAAGACTTGTGCTTTAAAAATAACAATGGATAGCTGAACAATACTACAATAGTTATAAAATAATTGCAAATAATAATGTTATAAATAAGATAACCATTTTCCAAAAAAAATGAAGGAAAAATACTGTAGGGAAAGCATCATGTACAAAAGAACTCAAGTTCAGAGACTTTTACAACAAAACAATTAGATAAGGGAAGAAGTCCAGCAAAGACTTGTTGGATTTTCAAGGCATAAATAGCAAGGTAATATAAATGACTCTTAGCAAAAGTAATATAAATATAAATATATTATGCCCACAAACAAAAAAAATATATTTAAACCATTATGGAAGCATAGTGGATAATACTAATATTTAGACAATATCTAGACATGCAAATTATCTCTCACTACCCGCTCTCACGTTGGATAGGAAAGGCTGGAGAAGGGCAATCACCCATTCTTAAATTCTTAAAATCAATATTCTTAATACCAAAGAGTCGGGCAGAAAAAAGGGGGAGCTCTCTGTTCCCGGTTCTCCTGTAGCTGGATCATCTGGAATCACAAGAATCCTTAGTTAGAATGGGATTCCAACTCAGTACCTTTTGAGATTTTGAGAAGAGTTGCTCTTTGGAGAGCACAGTACGATGAAAGTTGTAAGTTGTGTTCGGGGGGAGCTATTGTCTGCCTTTATGGTAGAATCAGTCGGGCCCTGAGAGACGGTAGTTTACCCTGTGGCAGATGTCAGCGGTTCGAGTCTACTTATCTCCAACTCGTGAACTTAGCCGATACAAAGCTATAAGATAGTACCCAATTTATAATTGTTGATAGCAATATAACAATCCAAAATGACAATATCCAGACATTATGGAAGCATAGTGGATAGTACTAATCACATAAATTGAATATTAACTGCATTAATTGCAACTGTTTATTTTATTTTATCAAACATGTAGCAGAATCTGTAAAGATACAATATATTCATGGTGATTAATGATAAAGACTGCTACATTAGCTAAGAGATGTTCATGAAATTCATTTCATGCCTTCAAGTTTCTTATTCTTCAAGGCTCAATAACTATAAATGGTTACTTAAAAACTCAAGACTATCCCTTCCTATTTCAAAAACTTTTTCCTTCAATCATAATTAGCACATTGAATTATAGATGCACCCCCTGCTCCTATGGTACTTCCAAAAGCCTAAGAATATGTATCAAATTTTACACAAAAAAAACACAATAATAAAATAAATTACATCTAATCTTCAAATTGTTCAAAATAGGGAGATAATGAAAAAATGAAGTAAAAGATTTGTAATGTCAATCTCTAGTTATCATATAACATCAACGATAACATAATTTTACATGTTTTAAATTTTCCTAGGTGGACAGCCATAAAAAGGTCACAAGTTCACATCCTCGAAACAGTCTGTTCGTTTCTGAGAAATGTTACGTAAATCTACCCTCTCCATCGAAACTTCATTATGTAGGAGCCTCGTGTACTTGACCGACAGAACCTTTTTCAAAAGGATATCACAACTTCTGATGCAAATGTGGAGAGAAGAAGAGATCAAAGAACTTTACCTTTTTGGCTTCCACTTTTCCAAATTTTCATTTCTCCCCCAAAAAAGGTGCTATGATTCTAAAAACTAATTAGATCAGGAAGAACAACTTGGTTTTGAACAGAAGGAGGATGATAAGGTACAAGACTATTATATGATGATGATTCCTCAAAAGGGTTGGTTTTAGTAACAATATTAGGCCTCAAATCATTGAAAACATGATTTTCTTTAACATCAATAACCATTATATCATCATCAAAAACCTCCCATTGATGAGTAATCACTGTAGTTAAACCATTTTCTGAGTCATTTTCACAATGTCTAACCACAATGGCCTTATCCTCATCATTATTCACACCACCACCACCATCACCATTACCATTAACATTACCATTATTATATTCCATTTTCTTCTTATGAGATACACCACTTATAATCTTTTGAAGATCATGAATATCTTCTTTAGGAATTCTTTGAATTCTTGGGCATTGAGATGCATTAAGTACACCAATTTCTCTACAAAACTCAATGTACAAAGTGAGTTCATCTCCTTGAATTGTTGCTTTTTGAAGAACATTGAGTCCAATACCAGCTTCAACTTTTCCACCAATATCATATATCCTTAACAAAACCCTTGAAATAATCTTGCAAAACTTGCTATACATATCAAAAACTTCAACTATAACACAATCCATTGCTTCAAGAATAAGACCAACATTCATGTTCATATTCCCTGGCTTTATCTGCATAAGCCTATCAATCAAACCTTGTAACTTCTGCAACTTTTCAAGCTCTTCCATCAATGTTTCTTCAACCTCAACATCCTTATTATTCCTCTGCTTAATCCTATTACTCATTTTCTTTGCCTCACAAGACACAAAATTTGATCTTTGATCCAAATACGCGAAATAGGCGCGAACGAAAGCATTAAAGCCCCATGCTTTTTCAGGACTCATGTGCCCATCAGAGAAATTTGAAAGATCAAAAGGTAACTTACCCATTCTTTGAACCACAGGGATATCAACAGTGAAAACACCATGCATTAACACCAACCCTTTAAGTGCAACAACCCAGCTTCTAGTCTTTCGAACCCGAATCGAAATAGCCATCACAAGTGGTTTCAGATACAATGGTGAGACTCTTATCCAATGGAAAACCCTTTGAACATTCTTGCAATCTATCTTTTGTTCATCATGGCTTGTGGCTTTGATTATTACAGTTTCAAGATCAGGGTTTCTGAATGGACCATTACCTGAAAACCTTGCAACAATTATGCTGTTCTTGTCCTTAAGAACACCACTTGCTTTTTTCCATAGCCTCATGATGTTGTTCTATGATGTAACTTGTTTTGCAAGAAAAGAAAACAAAGGCACTAGTTTGTGAAATAGGGGTGGTGGTGGTGGTGATTTTTTTCCCCCTATTTCACAACCTTAATTCCCTTTGTTTCTTTCTTTCTCTCTATGGTTTGGATTTGTGAATAATGGAGATAACAAACACAAATGGTTCCTCTACTCTTTCTATTTTGTTGTTTGATGAGAATGTGTTGTCTTGTTTTTGGTCTCCTTCATGTGGTGGAATTTTTCAAGGTTGTTAATGTCTTATGTTAATGATGTGTCACCCACCAATAAGACCCTTTAGTAGATTTTCAAGTACACCAAAATATCAAGTGTTCGATTTATGAGAACGATTCTTAGTTGGGAGGGACAATCACAAAGTCGAAGGATATAGATTAGTTTCTTATTCATAGGAAGAGGGAATAACATTGGTTATACAAAAAAATCATGTATCGTCCAATTGGAAGTTGTGCGAAAAAACAAAGAAAACACAAAATGAAATATCATTGTTAATCATATTGAGATTACAGTTTTATCCTTAAAAATTAAAGAAAAAAAAGAAATTCCCTCTCCATTACTTGAGATGAGTCTTATTCAATTTTTTGCGAGTGAGACTCATCTCCATTAATAGAGAGAGAAGTTGTGTGAAAAATAAAAAAAAACACAAAATGAAATGACAATTGTACATTTTGTTAATTATATTGAGATTACATTTTTACCCTTAAAAATTAAAGAAAAAATAATTTCTCTCAATTATTTAAGAGGAGTTTCACTCAATTTTTGTTGTTGTTATATATGGAAAATATAAATGAATTTTATCCTGTGGCTCATTATCTACCTATAAAAGTTTTAATCATTATGGTGATTAATATATTGATTATGTAAAATACTTTATTATAAACATTAAACTCTTAATAATATGTCAATATTTTTTTTAGGGGAGGGATCCACTTACTCCAAGAGTAAGTGGAAAAACACTTACTCCACATCATGACCATTCATTCTTAGGAAATCCAATGGTTTGAATTGGTGAGTACATCCAAGCCATTGAATTTTTCAAGATTGGATGGCTAAGATGAAAAGTAAGTGTTTTTTGGAGTAAGTGGATCCCTCCCTTTTTTTTTTATAGATTCTATATTGGGCAGGGTTCAAAAACAGATCAAAATTATGTGTGGCTCATGTGTCACGACTAAAGATAGGGTTCTCAATAAATGTAATTGATCTAAAAGGAATTCTTCATTGTTTTGCTTTGCCTATGACTAACATTAGCACCAAACACATTTATGTGAAGTGGTAAAATTATAAGGTGTTAAAAATTAGATATAATTAGAATCAACTATAGTTAAGCAACATTATACATTAAAAACATTAACTACCTTGTGCTAAAGTTTAATGTTGTCTTTGAGTTTGTTATATATATATATATATATATTTATTGTGAAACTCGTGCCGGACATCAAACCGGAAGAGGTTCCGTATTAACCGTCTGGTCGGATCGGATGATTTTAAATAAAATTAATATTTTTTATCTATAAATATATAATTATATAAATGTAAAATTTTATATAATTAAATTTTATATAACTATATTGAAGTAACATATTTCCATCTTTTTTTGGATCGAAGTAAAACAAAACATTAGATTAATATTCCATTTTTCTAAATTTTAAGTGAATTGCCCCGTTCACTTCCTCAGTTATTTCGGTTTAATTGATTTTAGCATGGTCGAACCGGAACTCGGTTTAAAGCAATCCAACAACTTATTCGATTAAGACTACAAATCAAAGTCGTTTTTAAGTCCGGACAACAATTGAATCGGTCAGATCATCCGACCCGGTCCGATTATCACAATACTGATATATATCATCGTGCTTCTAGAAGGATTTATATAAATGATATTTGATAATATTAGTTCAAAGCTTAGTGGCCAGCATTTCTGGTTGTCTCTATGAGAAGACATGTAGAGTTAGACAAATTAATTATTTCATATATTATTATATTATTACATGTACAATGATAGGAACCCCTAAGTATATATATATATATATATTATTTATTTGGTCTAGCAATAATTTCATTAATTTTCTAAAATAAAAAAAATCAGAAGATTCTAATATTCTCTGAGTTTATGGGTTTGAAATACAGAAAAGAAACATAAGCAAGGCATGTGACATTTGAAACTACATTTTAAATATTAAAATTATTTAAAAAGAATGATTGGTTGTTTTTAAAATTTTACAAAATAAATAATAGGCGCTAACAATTACATTAAAGAATCATTATTTTTTGTTGACATATTTTTGATTAATTACTTTTAATTGGTTTGTACAAAAAATATATTAATGAGAGTGTATAAAATTCAATGATTGTAGGAGTAAATAATGTAGACTTTTAAATAGCTTTTAAAATATTATATAATTTTAAAGACATATAATTGCTCTGATTTAAAAGAAATTAGTTTAAAGGATAATTAATTGCTTTGATTTAATAAAAACACACAAATAGTTATAATTATTATTTAGCATGTTGTATATGAAAAAATATTTCAAATAAAAAAGATATTTGAGATCGTAAAGATAATTAGATAGTTTTTATTCCAGACCATAAAATATTAGTTTTTTATTATAATTGAGAGTGGATGAAGTATATTTATTCTTAATTCAAATAAATTTTATTAATAAAAATTTTAAACTCATATTAACACGGACTCATAACAAGTAGGTATAGAGTAATTCATTATACAAGATTATATTTTAATACTTTTTTTATAAAAAAGTTTAGATGAGTTGAATATGAAAGTGCAACATGCTTCAAGGTTTGGAAATTGCTCACATACTATCT